GTATGAGCCCTTCAGACAGCTTGTGCTGCAGTTAATTCACATGCAGAGCTCCTTCTCTGCTCATGCAAGCCATCAAGAAGCAGCCTTGCCTGAGGCCACCTGAAATAAAGGACATTCATCACCTTATACACAATCACAAAAAGCCAGTGGAGATGCTACCATTTCTATCTTGTACATGAAGCCACATGAACCACAGACCTTGGCTCTCGTACAGAGCTGGTCAATGGTGTTGCTTCCGCTGGCAGGCAGACCCTTGTGCAATGAGCAGAGGCAGCAAGCTTGGGTTCTGACAGACATTCCTGCTTTTGACCCCATCGATAGGATCACTGACAGCCACATCTAGATTGGCAGCCTTGCTTTGGCTGGCGCCCCTGGGTCCAGCGCTGTTCTTTCTGGACTTTGGCTTGGCTCAGTGCCAGAGAAGGTGCAAGGGACAGCAACAGCGGCAACAACCTTGGCAGAGCTAGCTGCAATTCCATCTGCAGTGGCCTCAGTCTCTGCAGATCCTGTCCATTGAGTGGGCACACCATGTCAGCTCCTCAAGCACTGACCTCCAGGTTGCCAAGGAGCAAATGAGCAGTCTTGGCCTGATGTCCATGGAGCTATTCTTTGTGACTTTGCCACAGCAAGCAAGTTTTGTTGGCCAACCAGACCTGGACTCTCTGCAAAGTCAGAGAGAAGGAAACATCTGTGGCACCTTTCAAGATTGTGAGCATTGCTCAAGAAGTTGCGGCTTGGGCCTATGTCTGTTGTTGCCTGCAAAGAGATTGCTCTCTCTCTCAAATCAAATTGAGATTGTTACCCTTGCTATCCACCATCACTTTTTGGCTTTGCCATTGATGTTGCCTTCAATGTTGATACTACCCTCGTTGTGGCTGGCCCTGACCTGCTTGCTGCACATTCCCAACAAAGCCTTGTCCAAGTGCCTTCGCTCTAAATGCACGCATCAGCTCAGGTCATTGACCGTAGGCTAAGAGAAGAGCACAAGCTTGTAACACCATGACACACAGAGCCACTCCTACACTGCTCTGGCTGTGAGTGCCAGAGGTTTTTCCAGGAGCAAGCGAGGTTGGCTTCCATCAAGCTGGCTCAAAGCAGTCCCTGAGCTCTGCTGTGTGAAGCAGGGATCACTGTGCTTTGCGTTTTGCAGCTCAGACGTGACTGGTCCACTCCAAAGTGTCCATCCTGGAAGCTTCTGTAGGTGAGGCGAGCGACACAAACCCTTTGAGTCAAGAGTGGTGGGTCGCTTATTTGCACGTGGTCACGCTCAAGCTTCGCGTCACGCGTCGCGTTGGGCGCGTGTTTGTGTATTTCTTTAGCATCGACTCGAGCTCACAACCTTTCTACGCAACGAGCAAGGCAGTCAGTCGTGCTCAAACATTCACGATTGTGATTGTCCTTCACAATGACCCACTCTCGACAGCCATCAACCGACCGGGATTGATTTGATCCGAGTCGATACTCCATCAGCAGCAGCCTAAATCTGCTGTGCGAGTCCATGTTGGTCCGCCCCTTTCCAGTGGTCAACCTTGCAGCCTCATCAACGCGTTCATCCCCACCCTCCTCTCTGCGGCACCATCCTCGCGTCCGGCATGCACGGAGTTCTTGGCAAAGTGTCGTGCATGCATGACATGCGCGTCAGCCACGGCGTCTTTGATGCTCTTGCACTCGATCCCTCTTGCTGCTCGAATGCAGCGCCGCCTCAGTTCGCAGCACAATCAAAATCGCTGCGATTAGAGAACTCGGCTTCTTGGCGACCATGATGTGAGCGCAACAAAGCTCGACGCACGAGTACGATACGGTATTGACTCGGCAAGGCATGCAGCCGGCATGCTGTTGCTCTTCTGCAAGGCGTCCGTTGAACGATTGCCCATAAACACCAACGCCAAGCAAGTCGTAGCTCACATGAGTGGGTCTCTCTCTCGTCGTGAGTCGGATCCTTGACACTTGCGACTCCACCATCTCACACAGCGTCTCTCGCGACCTTCCTTCCCTCCTTCTTCCACTCACCTGTGCTGTATGCTCTCCCGCTTGTTTGCGCAGTCATATCCTCGATCTTTGTCTTCGTTCGGACACACTGGCTTATCAGTTCCAGTAACGTAACCCGTCATCCCTTGCAAAGATGATGCCCAGTCGGGGTGGTGTGCTGTCGGCACTTGCATTCATCCTCACCGCACTCGCGCTGGCACCACTCCAATCACAAGCACTGGAAGATGCAGATGTGCCTCGCACGAACGAAAACAGAACGCTGTACGCTATCCCGGTGCCCCTACCATACGACTCGCTGCAAAGTGCAAAGCCGGGCATCGAGAAGTCCACACTGGAGCAGACGCAATTTCACCTTTGGAGCTACATCTCCAGTGACTACGATGCGAGCAAGATCAAACGCGCGGTTGTCACGCTCCATGGCCAAGGAAGGGATGCTTGGTCTTACTGGGATGATACCTATGATGCTCTGTTCAACGCTACCAGCCCGACCAAGAGATCCTCCAAGAGCTTGAGCACTTCGACTTTGTCTTCTGCCAGATCGTCGTCATCATCATCATCATCATCGTCATCGACCTCATCATCTCGCAGCAATCGCCACACGTCTACTAGCAATTCAACTTCCCGAAGCTCCAGTCGCTCACACTCCGTCACGTCTCGAGCTGAGAGCATCACATCGCCTCCCACGCGGCGAGCCAGCAAGAACCGAACATCGCTAAAGCGCGACGAAGTTTTGATTTTGGCGCCACTCTTCTTCAACAATCAAGACACCTCGGCGTATCAAGCACTGGACGAGGAGTT